CATTAGCACCTCTAGTAATATATTTACTGAGAAAAATGGTGACGTGTTCAATACTTATTTTACCCGCTGTATGTGAGGTTTGAGGAGGCATTAATTAAAAACAATCTGTCACTGGATAATTTTAACCATCACAGAAAAATCTAAATGATGTAAATTTATTGTTCTGGATTGGAAAACTGAATTTTTTTTGTTAGAAATTAAATAAGTAAAATGGTAACAAATATTTGGGTGTTGCAATTTAGTTTTGTAGAGTTCACTTGTTAATTTTAACAAAAAATTATTTTAAGACTGTTATTAGGTTGATGCAGGGCTCACATTTAGGCAATAAAAAACTTAGTCTTGACTTCTTAGCTACAAACATGACAGTATAATTAAGGCTAAAATCATAAAAAACACCAGCAAATAATAATAAAATAATCTAACTATCTTCTATAAATACTTTTAAACCTGAAACATTTACTCCAAGTATCTCATTTAAACTAAGATAAAATCATATCACCAAATAAACATGTTTAAGCTAAAGCGGTCGATCTGCTGTTGTGTTTTTATTTTTATCTGACAAACTTACAGTAAGTGTTGTTTTTAATCACACAACTTACACACTGTTTAATAAAACCCTGCCAGGTCACCATGGTTAGTCAGCACCAATAACGTTAGTTTAAATATACCTCCTCCTTGTACATCTGGAACATGACAGATTATCATAGGTGAAGGTGAAGGGAACCAAAGGTAATGTGAACGATACCTGTTGTTACCTCCAGACGTGTTCGGTACATGCAGCAATGTTTGTGTTCCGGTTCAGAAACATCGAGGGCGTGCAGATTGTTGTCGTCTTTTCTGTTTTTAAATGTTCCCATGCTTTTTATAATTTGTCGTTTTCCGAGCACTTCGTTTCGGCACTCTTTGTCTTCTTCTAAAGAAAAGTATAGCTCTTAGCAAGCATACACGCATTGACTGTGTAAACTGTTAGYGGAAGAGCCAACATCATAGCATTGTGTGACACAAATAACATTCCAGGCGTACAAAAAAACGCTCATTAGTGTATGTATTTTTTTTACAAAGCTTCGAGGCAGATAAATTTGCCTCAAGGATTTTTTGTAATCAAATTACTCGAATTATTCGAGGAATCGTTTCAGCCCTAGTTCCAGTCTTCTGGTTGGTTGATCAGACTGTGGGTGTGGTTCCAGTCTTCTGGTTGGTTGATCGACTGTGGGTGTGGTTCCAGTCTTCTGGTTGGTTGATCAGACTATGGGTGTGGTTCCAGTCTTCTGGTTGGTTGATCAGACTGTGGGTGTGGTTCCAGGTGTGACGGTGGAGGAGTTTGAACAGGCGAAGAACAAACTGTCGAGTCTGAAGAAAGACCCGGGGAACGAGGTCAAACTGAAGATCTATGGTCTCTTCAAACAGGTGAGGACTGTAGATGAGTGTTTATAACTCTGTCACAGAAACGTTCACTAACTCATTTTCATCCTCCTCCTCCTCCTCCTCTTCATCCAGGCCACTCAGGGTCCCTGCAACACCCCCAAACCAGGGATGCTGGACTTTGTGAACAAGGCCAAATGGGACACCTGGAAGTCTCTGGGCTCCATGTCTCAGGTCTGAACGCCCCGTGTCCTCTGTGATTAGGGCTAAACTCRTTCTGCTCATTAACGCTTTTTTTCTGTCAGGATGAAGCCCGGCAGCAATACTGTAATCTGATTGGCTCCCTGCTGGAGACAGAGGGACGAAGCTCCGCCCAGGTGGCTGCAACACCTGCCGATGGAGTGATGTACAAGACGCTGATGGTGACTACAGAGAATAACATCACCACCATCAAACTGAACCGACCGGCCAAGAAAAACGCCATTACAACTGAAGTGAGATTTTCAAAGTAAAACAGGAAGTTTGTTCTCCTTCAGCTCCTGTTTATTCTTCCATCTGTTTTCAGATGTACAACGAGATCATGGCAGCTCTGGAGCAGGCAGCTAAAGACSACTCAGTCATCACAGTTTTTACTGGTAATGTGACAGAGACAAAGAGTTCATCAGATCTGTGACCCTGGTCCAGACCTCCTGGTCCAGACCTTAGTTCTTTATGTCTCCCTTACAGTGATCCAGACTTTCCTGCAGTCTGTTACATGGGTCTGARTCAACAGTTCTTCAGACTTGTTGAAGGTCTCTTTGGAGGCTTTTTCTCCAGTTTCAGGTCCTGAACTTTTTCAGAGGAATGTTTGACCTTTGACCTTGTTTAGACAGAAAAGTGATGGTTCTGAGTCCTGTCCTCACATAAAAGACAACGTTTAAACTGGATTCCCTGGGTTTCTGGTTCATCCGAAGCCCTGTGGGATCAGTTTCTGAGAGAACAGAACCAAAACTCCAAACCATTGAGAACCTTAAAAAGTCCCACAGAAGTCTGGAGAACTGGTCCTGAGGACCTGGTAAAGAAAAGACTGGAAGAATTCTCTGAGAGAGTTCAGGATTAAAGATTCTCCAAAACATATGGCCCTCAGACCTCCGTTAGATCCAAACATATCGAGACCCCAGGTCTGACCAGGGTCCAGCTCTTCCTGGTTCCTGGCTGTAACCATGGTTCCTCCCTGCAGGAGCTGGAGATTACTACTGCAGTGGGAACGACCTCACCAACTTCACCGAGATCGGAGAGGGAGGGATGGAGGCCTCGGCCAAACGTGGTGCCGACTTGCTCAGGTGATGGACTGGTTAGAGGACGAGTCAGGGATGGAACAGGAGACAAACTGTCCTGCTGTAGGCCTTAAACCAGGGGTGTCAAACTCCTGTCCTCGAGGGCCGCTATCCTGCATGTTTTAGAGGTTTTCTTGCTCCAACACACCTGATTTTGATCGCTGGGTGATTAACAGGCTTCTGCCCAATTTGAAGAGTTAATTCAATCACTGAATCAGGTGTGTTGGAGCWRGAAAACCTCTAAAACATGCAGGATAGCGGCCCTCGAGGACAGGAGTTTGACACCCCTGCCTTAAACTAACTTTATTTATAAAGCTGAATCTCTGAGGAGGTGGTGAAGAGTCATAGCCTGTATCCACCTCCTGCACAACACAACTGATGGTCCCAACCCCAGTTTATAAGGCAAGAAATCCCACTTATTAAACCTGACAGGGCACACCTGTGACATGAAAATCATTTCAGGTGACTACCTCTTGAAGCTCATCAAGACTGTGTGAAGCAGTAATCAAAGCAACAGGTGGCTACTTTGAAGAACCTAGAATATAAGACATATTTTCAGTTGTTTCACATTGTTTTGTTAAGTATATAATTCCACATGTGTTAATTCATAGTTTTGATGCCTTCAGTGTGAATCTACAATTTTCATCGTCATGAAAGTAAAGAAAACTCTTTGAATGAGACTTTTGGTCTGTACTGTGTATTCGTTTTTATATTGGTTTGTTTTTGCCGCCTCTGCCTCCTGTTCAGGAAGTACGTGAGGGCCTACATCGACTTCCCGAAGCCGCTGGTCGCCGTGGTGAACGGACCAGCTGTTGGAATCTCTGTCACCGTGTTGGGTCTCTTTGATCTGGTCTACGCCACAGAGAGGGTACACAAACACCGCTGACACACTTCATCCAGATTAGTGTGCAGATCTCTGACTCTGCTGCACGCACTGATGGAGGTTCTGCTTTATAACTGATCAGAACYCTGATCKAAACCTAACCTCATGATGGAGAACRCCACCACAATAAAGGAAGTCCCCCACTGAAACTCCCCCAACACTAAACTGATAACTCAAATATAACTTGGAAAACAAAAAAATACCCAACTGCATCCACCCTTGGTGGGCTGTAAACAGCCACCAAGGAGTACCCCCCTTTTTAAACTGAATTAATAGAATTAAACAAACACAAAAATGGACTAAAAATAGAACCAAACAAACTAATGAGCCAAAGATGAAATAATAAATGATAAAAATACAAACTGAAGCCAAAATTAGATCCAGACTTAAAGAAAACACAACTGGCCCAACCAACCAATCAGAATACTACACTACAACAACCC